TCAGATTATAGTTTTTATAAAACTTAATATTTTTATACATTGTATGCCTTATAATGCACAATCTATATATTTATTAAATGTAATATTGATACTTATATTATCTGTTTTTAGTTTTTTTTTTTTTTAAAAAAAATATTAAGGTAAGTACTTGCAACCCAAAATTTTATTGATAGTATATTTGGCTAATAGTTGTATTACAACCACAGAGGGCAATCATAGAAAGAGTGTACAACTAGTTACTTATATAACTTTAGTTATTGTTTAATTTAAGTAGTCTGTCTGAAGGTTCTATACTAGTTGCATATCTGAAACCTGCCTATAGGTTCCTTATTTAACTATTCTAGTTTCTGTATCTACTTACCTATCTCTGCCTACTAATGACTCCAGCCGATGTCAGTGAAAATATGTCATGGCCACTAAGTCTTTAAAGCAGTTCACTTATATAGAGAACCTTTGACCTTGTACTAAACCTTCCAGAATCTTCTGTATCCTATTTTTACAACTAACCTAGTATTGCTTTAGCCAAGACCAACACTGGTAGTTAGAGTATATCATTGAACTGCTATGCTCTTGTAGAGTTCATCTCAACCCTAGTACTAACTTCACAATATATCCCTACTACTTTGGTATTCAATTCAAGTTCCATCAAGCTTCCAAACCAAATAGCCTGAAAAGGCAGATCATAATCATACACCTTTGGTTTACATGTTTGCCAACATGTAACCTTTTCCTCTGGAATAGGTCCTTGTAGCCTAATTGGTTCCATTCAGCCCCTTCTTAAAGGTTGGCTCTGTGCCTAGTTTCATAAGTTCTAGCTCTGTTTCATAGATCTAGTTTTTACAGTAGTGCCATCAAAGGTTCAAGTTATTTCTCTACTTAGGTCTTCCAAGTGGGCTTCCATCTTCCTATCTGGTTCTTGTAATTTACATGACCAAAGAACTTATCTTGAGTTCACACCATCTGGTACTAATTTGTATTCTTTCATACAATGTTGCATAAATGCCTAGAACTTTAAGTTATGCTAGTATAATATAGGTTATAGGTGTCTTATCTCAACAAATCATAGAAGACAGTTAACTATAACACAGAAAGAATTGCAAATTTTTACTGTCACTAAGATTTGAACTCTAGATCTACCACTTGGAGGTTGACAACTTTTTGTTTCTAGTTTTATATAACTATATTATGTAATTATTTTATTTTATATTAAAAAAAATAAATAAATAAATATGTTTATTATTATTGTTATTATTTTTTTTTAATATTAATAGTGAGGTTATGTCTTTATTTTATTATTATTATTAATAAAATATTAAAAAATAAATATGATTATCAAAATTATAAAAATTTTTAAATATGACTTCATTAACTTTATACACTTTGTATAATAATGTAATTGCTAATTAAAAACTATTCAAGTACTAAACATTATTTTTAATCATTATTTAGTTAGTTACTTATTTTTACTAATACTTATATAGATTTTATTTTATTTTAATTACAGACCATTCTGCTCTTATAATTTTGTTAAGTTATAAGTTTTCTTATAACCAACTAATATATTAAATCTTAGTTTTATAAAAATATATTTTTATAATTATATATTATTTTAGAAAGTAGAATTTAAATGTTAATAGTTTTTATATATTTTTAAACTCATATTATTTTATATATTTTTACTATTTTTATTAATATTATTATTCTTCTATTCTTATATTATAATTATTTATTTTTTTGTCTATTTTATTAATGTTTATTACTTTTTTAAATAATATTCTAAAATTGAAATTTTATTAAAAATTTGGTTACTATATTATTAAGTTAACTTATTAAAATAAATTAAAACTTATGTACTAAAAAAATTAAAATATTAAACTAAAAATTTTATCATTATTAATAATTTATTATATAAAAACATTAAAAATAATCTTATTAATTTTTATAAATATTATTATTTTATCAAACTAATATTGTGCTTTTTAATATATATTTAAATTCTTTTTAGATTCTTTAACTATTTTGTTATTTTTTAGTATATTTTTTTAAAATGTTTTTAATTATAAATAAATAAAATAACTAAAGTTTATATAATATCTATAATATTTGTCAATAATAAAAAAAGTTACATATTTATTAACTTCTTTATTTTATAAAAATAAAACTATCCTTTAACAAAATTAGAATTAATATTATTAGTTCCTTAGTATAAACAAAAAATAACAAGTATAGTATTATAATTACTAAATATTTTACTAAATAATAATATTACTATTTTATTTTTTATAAATAATATTTTTATTATTATAGTAATTTTTATAAAATTTTATTAAACCAAAAAAATATTTTAATATTAACTAATTGAAACTAAATATTATTAGTTAATAATTAATTATTAGCATTTCCTTATTTATTAATTTTAGACTAATAGTTTACTTAAATATTTTATTTATCTAAATATTTAATTTAGTTTTCTAAAAAATTAAATAAACATATTTTCTTAATAATTTTTATATATTAGATTATTAAAATTTAACTATATATTATAAGCTATTGTTGTTTAAGATACAATTTTTTTTAAATAAGCTTAATAAATTAATTTTAAATACTTTATTTTCTACTAAATCTAAATTACAAAAAAAAATTTTAATTAAATTAAATTATTATTTAAAAATATTTCAAAACCTATTTTTAATTTTGTCAAATTTCAAAGAATCAAATTTTAATAATCCTTTGCACCAATTTTTTTATATATACCAACCTACAAAAATTATATAGTTAGTATGTTTATATATAACAAAACTTCATCATATAGCATCTGAGTTCAAGAGTTTCAGATTGCATGTGAGTCATATAAAAAGAGCTGAATAGACAGCTTCTTGTGGGTTTAGCTTTCTAGTAAAAGTTTATAGAGTTATTAAAAAGATAACTTTGGCTATAACCAAGAAAGTTTTTATCTAACTATATCTAAGTAGCAGCAAAGATAGAAGCCAGTTGAATATATTATTTTATATAATGTAAACTCCTATACTTATTATAGTTAGAGTTCTAAAAATTTTTTTCTTATATTTTTTCAAGAAATTTTAATCAAAAAGTAGGCAATCTAGTTTATTTATCAAAATCAACATTGTTGATTCTTCCAAATCAGGATTGTTTATCAATTCTATTTTAAAAGAGTCCATGTTGCAGATAAAGCATAAGTATACATGTCTTAGAAAAAACATAACAATAAACAAACTTAGAGATTTTTAGCAAAAGATAAAATGATTGGTCAAAAATATGACAAGTGTCAAAGTATAAGATCTGGTAAAAAGTATAATAAGTTGTACATAAAAATAGATTCAGTAACAAGAAGTTGGAATGTCTAACATATAGAAAATTCTTTGCTAGTTCAGTTTTGGTTAAATTATTTCTCTTAGAATATAAGCTTTAGTATTAAATATGTTAATTAAATAGAGTTAAAATAAAGATTACTGTATTTAGTAATATATAATTTTTAGTAGACCAACATAGCCTTTATAATTAGTGACTGTTTGTTTGGCCTTTGTCAGCAATCTCCTTCCTTTTTATTTCTTAATATTTGTTTTTTTACATTTTTTATCTATATACTTTTTTTTTAGTGTATTCCCTCTTAACATCAAATTTTTTTTTGATTTTTTATTTTCTTACAAATGAATAGTATTAGATTGATGCTATTCAATTATAGAATAGCAGACAGATGAGTTCAATCCAAACTTTAGCAGGTTTGGTGTAGCAGATTGCTTGTAGATGCTAATTGGAATAACTGCATAATGATGGCACATAGAGTTAGATATAGTTCTATTTGTATATTGTCTGTACTAAACATTTATAAATAAATTTATGACTAATTAACCATCATGACTACCAAAGGTTAAAAAAAAAAAAAAATTCTGTCAAATTTGCAAAACTTAACAAATATAAAAGAATCAGAATTATCAAGATAATATTAAGAATTACTGCATAGATAATTAAGTTTTGATACATCAATTTTGTTAAATAAAATCTAAAATAATGTTTAAAAAACATTTATTTTTGGATTTTTCTATATATCTCTGGCCAGAAATATATAACTTATATATCTCTGGCCTATTGACCAATCAAAAAACTCGAATGTCATGTGACAAAGCTTCGATCAATAATTCGACATTGAACAATATCTCTGACCTAAAAAACTGAATCGCCTCTGAGTACCTGATAGGTACGTATGTCATACATGCATATGTATGTACATACGTATATATGATTATCATTGTGTGCTACATATCAAAACAAAAAATTTTAGAATTTTCTTTGCACTAACACCTTCAAATATACAATAACAAAACTATCAAAAAAAAAAGTGATTTAAAGCTGTTACCCTTTGTAAAGAAATCAGAGAAAGTAGTTGCCTCTCTTTAAACCAACCTAGATATAAACACTCAGTAAAATAAACTAAACATTAAATTTTGTTACGTATAATGTACATACGGGTTAAATCCAAAAAAAAAAAAAAAATTTTAATCTCTTGAACTTTTGAACCTATTTACCTAACAAGAACCATAAGTTTGTTAATGATTGTATAAAATTAAACCAACATTTATTGGTAATTAAACAAATGAAGAAGCCAAACCTTTCATGACTTAAAAAGCAATGAAATTCCAAACCAAAGTCCTTTGGACTTAAAGAAAAATCATAGTAATAATGGCCAACATACAAATAGAAGTAGCGTCTCAAGCATGACTTATTCTTGGTAAGTTTTAATCATTTAATATTATGCAAGGAGTATTAGCATTAGACATATGTCCAATTTCAACACTGTATACTAGAGTTGGCCCTGAAACCATGTGATGCTAATTTGTCACATGCTATTACTTATAAAAATCAAAATAGATCGTCAATTTTTTATAAGTAATAGCATGTGACAAATTAGGATCACATGGTTTTGGGGCCAACTCTACTGTATACAATGTTTTATGTAAAGACTAATAGCCATTATTGATATTTTAAGAACCAGAACCTGAGTACACATTGGACTCTGAGATCTCATCTGAATCTGAAGCTTTATCGGAACCTGAAGCCCCATTAGAACCTGAAGCCTCATTGGAACCTGAGTCTCTGTTGAAACCTGAGTCTTTGTTGGGACCTGAATCCTCGTTGGGACCTGAATCCCTATTAGGACCTGAATTCCCATTGGGACCTAAATCCCTGTTGGGACCTAAATTCCCATTGGGACCTGAATCCTCATTGGAACCTGAATTCCTGTTGGAACCTGAATCTCTACTGGAACCTAAATCTCCACTAGAACCTAAATCTCCACTAGAACCTGAATCCTCATTAAAGTCACTTTTTTAGCATAGCCAGGATTATGCCTTTCTTGAGGCCTTTAAATATATTTCTGATCAATACGCTAAACAAGCGATTTAAAGTGATTTCCTTAAAAGGTAACAATCATAGAAATGGCTTGCGCACTACTCAAGTTTTTGCCTGCGATCGCTCTGGTGTGTATAAATCTAGAAAAGATCCGACCAAGAAAGGCAGAAATAAAGTATCAAAAAAATGCAACTGCCCCTAGTCTGTTCGTCTTAATCATAATCCAGAAGATGACAAATATTATATTTCCCAAGTTGATCTATGATATAATCATCAACTTATTCCGCCCCAACTTATGCACATTTCACCTAGCAACCGCGAAATACCAACATTTATTAAGGAGGAAATTTTTACTTTGAAAAAAGCAGGAATTTCGATACCACAAATCCAATCTCTTCTTACAGTAAAATACAGACCAGCCGTGAAGACGTGGGTAATGAAGAACATGTATAATCTGATTGATACTGATCATATGTTATATCATGAATTTCAAGCCCATGATTTTCTTCTCCTCCTCCAACAAAAACGTAATAATGACTCTGAATTTTCTTATGAATTTGAATTGGACAATAACAATCGATTAAAACATGTACTCTGGGTTTATGCATCACAAAAGTGAAAATATATGCGCTTTCATGATACAATTGTATACGATAACACATATAAAAGCAATTATTTCTCGATGCCTTTTGGGGTGTTTACAGGCGTCACAAATAATGGTCTCTCTTACTGTGCTGCTGGTGCATTACTTCGGGATGAAACGTCCTTAAGTTTTGAGTGGCTTTTTGAATCCTTCATTCATATTTTTGGCACCGCACCCTATACTATTCTTATGGATAATGATCTTGCAATGTCGATGCTATCCATTCAGTCTTTACCAATAAGTATGGTACCAAGCATGGTCTTTGTATCTGGCACATGTTGAAGAATATAAGGTCTAATATGACCTTTAAACTTGGAAAGAAATATAATATGTTTCATGTGGATCTTATGAAATGTCTAAATTATTATATTGATCAAGATGAGTTTGAGGAGCTGTGAAATTTTATAATGGAAAATGATAACTATGCTGAAGCAAAGTCGTACCTGGAAGCTCTTAGTCGATGGCGTGAATGTTGGGCCCCGGTGTATTTAAAGAATTACTTTTTCGCTGATATGTCGTCAACACAAAGAGGAAAATCGATGAATAGTTTGTTAAAAGGGTTTATCGATTGTAAGACAAGGCTTACAGAATTTTTGGCCACCTTTGAACATGCACTTAATCTCTGTGAAGAGGCTGAGCATATTTCTGCCTACAAGAAGCTTGTTTATCCTATTCCCCTGACTTTCCCAAACCCTATCGAAAATCAAGCTGCTAGCTGTCTGATGTGGTATGCTTGGAAAAAATTTGAGGCTGAGTGGAGTGCGAAAGACGCATATGTGTGTGAAGAAATAACTGATTATGATGATGTGCATTGTTTTAAATTGTCACGTTACGAAAGGCCTGATGTTATACATTGAGTTTACTATGATGGTCGTGTACTTTCTTGTTGCTGCCGTAATTTTGAGTTTGCTGAGATAGTTTGTCGGCATTCTCTTGTGGTTGCAGTTCGTTTATCTTTTGCTTATCTCGATCCTGTTCACTTTCCAAAACAATGACAAAAAGATCCACCTGAGTTGGAGCTTGCTAAAGACTATGTTAATTTTTATAGTCGTTCACAATCACAAGTCCCAGGAATTTTAGCATCGCATGAATCATCTGGTAAAGGTGACTCTTGAATCTGGTTTATGTGAATTCAGCGATTATCAGGGGAAATTGCAAGCAAAATTGCAATGGACCCTGATAAATGTGCAGATTTTACGTTGTACCTCGAGAAGTATTTAGAGGTGATATATTCTGTTGACAATGATCTTGGTTCTACTTCAGCATCCCCAGAGCTTCCAATAATCAACAATCCTATAAAGAGCAAGGCTGTTGGATGACCAAAAAGAGGAAAAATCAGAAGTGAAAAGGAGAATGTACCTGTAAAAATGCGAGGCCAACCAAAAAAAAATCTTGAAGTGGTCCCGACCCAGAACCAAGGTGATGACGTTAACTTAAGCCAGCCACGAAAGTGAGGCAGACCAAAAAAGCATCTTGAAGCAGTTCCTTCTCGGAACCAAAGTGAGAATGCTAACTTAAGCCAGTCATGAAAACGTGTTCATAATAATGTTTAAAGTAAAATTTTTTTTCATCATATTTTTAATTATTTATAAGATGAAAGCTAATCAGCTTGCAATAATATTTTAGTAAAGTATTTTATAATTTTTTGGTTCTGAAGATTTATTATGCGTGATGCATTATGAATGAAAAAAATAAAAGTTTGAATTATGTTATCAAACAGTGAATTGTACAAAATCCAGTTTTTTTATTTAAATGTGAAAACTTTTAGGAACTTTAGTTTTAAGACCATGTTCAAATTTTACCTCAGTTTTGTTATTTTAAACATTGCTGATTTTACTTTATTCATTTTGAATCATTATTATATTAGCCACTGTTTACAGTATCCTCCTCTTCATTGAATAAGGCCCGAGTAACTAGATTGATTTACTGCATTTAATATGGTATATCCACAAATATGATACCCGGAATACACATGGGTACTATTCAATTTTAAAAAATCAAGTCTGTAAGCAGTGGTCAACAATAATATTTGATGCAGGGATCACTATATTTGTAATCGATTTCATGCTTTTTGAAAATTTTGACAAATCTAACTATCCAAACTACTATGTCACTACAGTGAGTAAGTATAGTAACAGACCACCATAAAAATAATTTTTACACTTATGTTACCGCAAATATGATAACTGTCATTACAATAGTTGGTAAGTACAGTAATAGAATTTTACGATTATTCCAGTATAAACTAACATCACCCATTTATCTAAATCACTTATGTACTGCAATGGTTGGCAGGTATGGCAATATGTAAATCACTATATATAGCATGATTATTCCAATACAAAAAACTAACATGTCCATATCTAAAATAAACCATTTTATGTTATCACAATAGTTGGTAAGTACAATAATAAAATTTTTTACAAGTAAATTGCTATAGAATTACGATTATTGCAACTAACATAGCCTTATCTTAATTCTTATATTACCACAATAGTCAGTAAGTATGATAAAGAATTTTTTTTACAGTAAATCGTTATAGAGATCATGATTATTCCAATTCAAACCAATATAACCCTATCAAAATATCTTATGTTACCACAATAGTCAGCAAATATAGTAATAGAATTTTCTTTTTTCTTATAGCAATCACTACAAAAATCATGTTATTCCAACACAAAACTAACATAATATCACTTATGTTGCTACAATAGTAGGTAAGAATTTTTTACAGCAAATCAATATAGAATCATGATCATTTCAAAACTAACTAACCCTACCTAATCGCTTGTATCATCTAATAGTTGGCAAATACGGTAACAAAATTTTCTTATAGCAATCACTACAGAAATCATGTTATTCCAACACAAAACTAACATAATATCACTTATGTTGTTACAATAGTGGGTAAGAATTTTTTACAGCAAATCGATATAAGAATCACGATTGTTTCAAAACTAACCAACCATACCTAATCGCTTGTATCATCAATAGTTGGCAAATACGATAACAAAATTTTCTTATAACAATCACTACAAAAATCATGTTATTCCAACACAAAACTAACATAATATCACTTACATTGTTACAATAGTGGGTAAAGATTTTTTACAGCAAATCGATATAGAATCACGATTGTTTCAAACTAACTAACCCTACCTAATCGCTTGTATCATCTAATAGTTGGCAACTTACATTGCTACAATAGTTGGTAAGTACGCAAATCAATATAGAATCACGATCATTCTAATACAAAACCAACATAATCTTGTCTAATTCGCTTTCATTGCCACAATAGTCAGGTACGGCAAATCACAAGAAATCATGACTGTCCCAACTAAATCGTTTATACTGTAAATTTTAATTTTTTAAGCAACTTTTTAATAGTTGGTTAGGACAAGTTCGTTTTCATGTTAGATTATTAAGGATAAAAACTTTATAATCTTTGTACTGTATTTTGTTTAATTTACGGGTCAAAATTTTTAAATAAATTATAGTTCCGGTCTGATTTTCCGATTTGATTTTCCGATCTGATCTCGGAAATATTGCATATAGTGCCGTGTTGTCACATGATTTGATCACATGATTTTCTATAGTTTTGATTGGTCAATAGGCCAGAGATATATAAGTTATATATCTCTGGTCAGAGATATTTAGAAAAACCCTTTATTTTTTTATATTTATAATATTTTTTTTAAGTTTATAAGCTTTATATCTTTAATAACCGGTTTAAAAAAATTTTTTATTTTTAAAAAATTTCTTAATCTCAATTTTACTTATTATTTTTTCTGCCTATTAATATTATTATATTGTTATTACTATAATTTTTAATTTTTTATATATATTTATATATCTGATTACTATTATTCTATAAATAATTATCTTATATTTATCATATTATGATTAAGATTATTATACATTAAGAAAACACTTAACAGTTTAAATATTATAATTAACAAATTAATACTATTGTCTTTTTAATACCTGATAAACTTCTTAATATTATTTTCTATTATTGTATATATAATTTGTGAAATTTGTTGAATGATAAGAATGAAAGTTTGCAATTGCTTGAATATAAAATATATGAAAGAAGAAATCTGTATATTTTTCTCAATGACTCAATATTACTCTTACAGTGTTGTTATTAAATTGTTTATTATAGGTAATCAAAAGGAAGGTTGTCCTGCATGAAAGTTTGATGTTATGTGAATCTTCACTTGTATTTAAACCCTCTGTTTTTGCTCTAATAAAGTTTTTCTCAGACTTCGATCTATCGACTTAACTAATAAATATAAGTTAGTAGGCATTTCAAAGCCAAAGACAATTTATACACGGTTAGTGAATTCTCACACTTGTCTCATTATTAAAACTTATTTATTGATTATCATTTCGTCTAAACGAATATCGGCCTATTCGATTTATTATTCAATCGATTATCGCATCGTTAGATCATTCTTCAATTAATCACTGATTCGAATTGACTATCGGCTGATTATTACCATCTTTCGATCACTCAATTCTTATTCGCGATTCCTTTTCCCATTCCCTTTGATATAAACGTCCAACTCTTGCCCATTTATCTTCCAGATTACTACGCTAAGCTAAACCCCTCCCCACTATAAGTCTACGTTCTCCTGAAACTGTAGTAACAACAGTACTATAAATAGAGAGAATGTAGTGATATGTTTTGTCCTGATTTAGCATATTGGCAGGCTGCAATAAGCTTTTATAACAGTTATGTAACTTTCTCCACAAAATATTTACTAACCAACAACAAACATTCTTTGACCCATTACCTTATTAAGAAATCAGTGAAGGTCTATCGATTACTAAAATTATTCTAATGTAGACCAATCAAAAGAATTTCCAGGTAGTACAAAGTTACATTAGAGATGATTATAATAAATAAGGTATACGAAATATCAAATATAGAAATCATGGATAAAAAAAAAGTATATATCAAGGTAACATATGGCAATGTTTTAAACCCATTAATTGTGTAACGTTAAAAGTAATTTAAGCGAGTTTTATTACAAATCAGTATAAGAAAACCATATAAAGAATAAGATTTGTGTACAAACTCATTAAGGTGTACAAATACATTTAAGTTTGCCATTATGAGTTTAGCGTCAATACATTGAAAAATGGTTAAATATCATACGTACATGCATCAATTTGACCATTGAAATATCACTGCGCGTTAAACATGTCAAATTGTTCAGATCCTTTTAATGAAAACCCTGCTAACACTACTGCGCTTAAATGGCTAGAAAGTGCAATCTCGAGTAATCATATTAATTATTTTAATTACAATGAATTCACTGAAATTAAACTACTGAGTGGAACTACAACAAGTACTGTATTCAAATCCAAATGGAATCGCGGATTAACTGTCGCTCTTAAAAGCCTACGATTTGATACAGAAGGGAAGGACATGAAATCATTTGTTCAAGAGGTATTGGGAATGATTAATCGATTATTGAAAATTCGATTATCATTAAATTTTATATTAATTCAAAAATTATCGAAAGCTTCAACTTTTGCAAAGAGTAGGCTTTCATCCTAGAGTAAATCAATTCTATGGAGTAACTAAAGGTTAATATTTCACTTAATTTATAATCAAATGAGAGAATTATAATACAATTCAAACAAGCCTATATCATGCATTTGCAAATAGATTTTTCTGAAAAGTACATGATGGTCCTGCAATTTGCTAATAACGGAGATTTGCGCGATTATTTGAATAAAAATTTCAAAGACTTAGTATGGGAGGACAAATTTCGCATCGCAAACGAAATAGCACAAGGCCTCTTATTCTTAAACAAGAATAATATAATTCATAGAAATCTTGTAAGTATTTTTTGATTCTTAATTTTCAAATACTTTATATTAAATTATTAATTATTATTTATTTTATAGCACCCAAAAAATATTCTGGTTCATGAAAATAATATTATGATTTCTGATTTCGGCATATCTAAAGTAGTGTCTCCTGATTCATCGAGGTCAACCTCAGCTGTTGACGGAATGCCAGCATTTATCGATCCACAATGCTTTAAAAATCCTCAATACAAACGTACTAATAAGGCGGATATTTATAGTTATGGTGTTATTCTGTGGGAAATTTCGAGTGGACATAAACCATTTCCGTTATTAAAGAGGATACAGATTGCCATCCAAATATATAATGGTGCAAGAGAAGAGCCGATAGAGGGTACACCACCTGAATACGTTAACCTTTATAAACGATGTTGGGATGATGAACCAGATAATCGCCCAACAATAGAAGAAATTATTGAATTTTTTGATCCATACTTAGTTAAATCAACGGATTCTGATGTGAGTACTGAAAGACCTTTAGGAGGACTGCTTCAGGAGGCTATTGCAGACGGAACCTTTGATTTTTATAGTTATGATCAATTTAAAGATCATAAAAAAATCTCTGATGAAGAATTTAGTTCAGTATATGAATCTGAATGGATACCACGTAATGTGACCGTTTCACTTAAACATCTTAAAGTTAACTATAAGAATTTGGACAAAAAAATCATTAAAGAGGTATATTTATTCCTTTGAGTATTTTATATTTTTTTAAAAAAAAAATCAGAGTGTATTAATCAGAAATTAAATATTATTTCAAAGCTTCAACTTTTACATGATGCAAATCATCCAAATATTATTAAATTTTATGGAATAACCAAAGGTATCTTTGAAACCATAACTACTAATAAAAGATATACACATTTATATTGATCATCAGTTTTTTTTAAAAAATCAATAAATAGATCCTTCTAGCGAATATTATACTTTAGTTTTGCAATCTATTGATGAGTATTTACAAGATTATTTAAGTAGGAATTTTTCCCAATTAAACTGGGCCAAAAAACTGTCCATAGCTATAGAAATAACAGAAGGAATTAAATACCTGCATGACAATGAGATTGCGCACCTTGACTTGGTATGACTAATATTTTTATGGATTACGTTATCATATGTTTAATATTTATTAAAACAATTTTACCATACTTGTAGCATACTAGGAACGTCGTGGTTTGCGGAGGCAAAATGTTAATTGTAGGGTTTGGTATACCCGAAAATCCTTCAGTTTCAACCTCAAAAACTTTTGAAAAGCCAGCATATATCGATCCTTATTGTCTTAAGAATCCCCAACAGAAACTTGATATGAGATCAGACATATATAGCCTAGGCTTCATTCTTTGGGAAATTTCTAGTGGTAAATTACCATTCAGTTCCTTTATAATGGGATATGCCATCTCTGTTTATGTTGTTAATGGAGGAAGAGAAGTTCCTGTTGAAGGAACTCCGTCTGAATACGAACAACTTTATAAACAATGTTGGAAAGAAGATCCTAAAGAACGCCCAAATATAGTGTCAGTTCTTGAAACATTAAAACAAATCATATTATGATTTTTTTAAATTTTTGATTTAAGGATATCGACATGAGTAAAATTGGTTTGGCATATTTTACTCTGATTTGCTGAACTATCTTTTATCTTTATGTATATAGTTAGGTTTCTATTTGTATTATTTCTTCATATTTGGATTCATTAGCTGCGTTTCATTAGTTCATTATTTTGATTATTTTGTACGTTTTCATATTTGTGATATTTTGCCTTATATGGCTACTTCATTTTGTGTTTAACGTTAATATTTATATCTTATATAACTATTCATTCATATTCCTTTATTTTTTTTCTGTAATCGAGGGGTACCGTGGCCACTGCATACAGTACACAGAGTCTTATTTAAGAACTTCATTTTTAAACCTGAATAGTGCTGGGTACTATTCATCTAGTGATCTCATTGGTGGGTACCTTGTGAGATAGGGGCATGCCCCCAAAATTTTCATACAATGATTTTTTTTTTATGATATAAATTTTTCAAAAAAAAAGCATGCCCAAAGGGGGCATTACCCTAGCCAACGGGTAGTAGTACGTACATAAGGATGATAAGTTCTTAGGTTGAGAATCTTGAAACCTAATTTGGAGCCTAGGATTTTAATATATATATATATATATAACCATAATATTAAGAATTTTTAAACTATAGTGTGCCCTCCTAGTGTGGGTTAAAAAAAATTTTTTTTTAAACTGGATTTTAATGATTATTTATTTAATTTTATAGATTTAAAATTCGTTAAATAAATATATACTAATTTATAAAAAAAATTTTTTACAAAAAAAAAAGATATCTTAAATCATACTGCACGTACTACTAGGAATAATAGTCAGCTTCTTAAACCCAGAACCTAATTTTTAAGTCCGACTTCAAACTATAATATTCAAGATATTTAAGATCTTTTAGTGATTTTGTTATTAGATTTCTTTTAACTGACAACTTTTTTCCAATCAATTAGTTGGACCAACCTTTGTAGATTAGTTTTCACAAGTTTTTTTTTTAATTTTATTGGCTAGCTGTATAATCACATGCACTATTTAATTATAAAAATTTCTTTTTCAAGACATTGAATAACATTGAATAAAATTTCCGGGTGATGTAATATGATTTTTTTTTCCGGAAATGTTTTTTCATAACCGAAACTTAGAAACCACAATCGTAAGTCGTTATTATAAATGACGGAAATTTTGCAATAAATTTGTACACCAATGCAAGAACCTTAATTGCAGCTCGTTGACTAGCGCTATGAATTAAAGCCTGCTTAGCATGATCGTAGCTCAGTGACTGAAAGGGGCAATAATTTATTTGTACATGAGCATACAGAACAGAAGCAACATAATGTAATGATCCTCTTCGAGTACTATATGGTGGCGATGCCATTTCCCCATATGTTTTTCCTTCGTAATAAAGATTCAACCGAGCAATAATTCCAATTTCTTAAACTTTTTTTTTGACTTTAGATTAGACGATTATTATTTTGCAAAAAATTTATTATTTTTTATAGAAATAAAAGTTGCATATTCATAACTTTGTAATATATTTGCAAAAATAAAGAGTTGCGCATTAAAATGTTCAATTAAATTTTTACAAATGATAAAATACGCAAATTTTGTCTAGTCAAAAAAATGTTGAAGAAATCGGAAATCAGTAATCTTGGAAATTGGTGATTACTTTTTTTTTACAGCTACGTATTATCATAATTTCTGGGACACCTGCTCATCACCCGAAGTCTTTTTGGTCGTTCGTAAATTACCTAACTCTCCGGAAACTTCGTTGCTGTCTTCGGACCTTCAATCCGGAAGCAGTGATGTAATTTACAGAGAGTAGGTAATTTACCGAACGACCAAAAAGATTTCGGGCAATAAGCAGGTATCCCAGAAATTATGATAATAGCTGTAATCTTCAAATTTTCACAAATTTTTGCAAACCGCTATAATTAGATTAAATGAATTAATTGTCAACAGTTCGACTTCCGATTATTCATAAAATCTGTAATTGACATCCACATTGTCAACTCAATCTCGTAAGTACGTACCTCTCGACAGCAGAGACCGTTAATGTTACACATATATTAAAACTGGTGAGGAATTATGTCCATCACAATTGAATCCAACATATGATCACAGGCGAGAGGGATTCACTTTGGATCGGGCACTGTCTCTGCTGTAGTACCTCTCAGACCGGAGTTAGCTGGAGTTAACGGACAACTAACACAGTGAGTCATATGTATTAGTAATACAAGACTACATTGCGGTACGTAATGGTTGTATGTGAGAGGATAATAACAATCAAAGAACACTGCATATTTGACATATTTATATAAATGTTTTTGTTTAGAATCTCAAATTTGCAAATTCGTCGATTTGTGTAATGACAAACGTGTGTTACAGTATATTTTGTAAATTACTGTAAATCCTGCGTATGTAGTGCGTACGGACTATTGTATAAAAGGGTGCCGGAAGAGTTTTTCTGTTATACTATGAATAAGAAAAAATCAAATAGTTACCATCACATAAAATGGTTCGAAAAAATAAAAGACAGAATCGCAGAACACGAATTTTCTGCATTTAAAAATATAAAAGAAATCGGAAAAGGCAAGACGTCTTAATTATTGACACATTTTTTTTAATAGCACAATTGACAACATATTTTTAATCATTAAATACACAAGGTGGGTTTGGTGTTGTATATTACGCGGAATATAATGGGAAAAGGTTTGCATTGAAAAGTCTTAACAGTGATGATGTGAATAAAGAAGTGTCAAAAGAATTTATTAAAGAGGTAATGAGTGATTTCTTTTTTTTTTTTTAAGTGGTGAGTAATTTGCTTTTTCTAATATATGACCTTCGTTGTCCAAAACCTTAATATTATTTATAGCTTAGACAATTATATGACATTAGTCCTCATCCTAATATCAACCAATTCTGTGGAATTACACACGGTATTGTAATAGTGCATATTGCATTTTTAAATTATATTCCTTAGATGATGTTTATAGTGTTAATTGATATTAGATTCCAAAGCAAATAAATTCATGTTGGTACTACAATTTGCTAACGGAGGAAACCTGCGGCAATATATTGACAAAAAATGGCATGAAGGCATTTATAAAATAACATTTTATGACATTATCAACTTTGCAAGACAAGTTACTCTTGGGTTGGAATACTTACATCAAAATAAAATAATTCATTGCGACTTGGTAAGCATCAATTTATTAATTGTTCTGACTCCTAATTAAATATTTTCTTTGAAACCATTAATTAATTATCTTTAATTTATTAAGCATCCTAAAAATATTTTAATAAATGATGATAAGCTTTTAATTGCGGATTTTGGGTTATCAAGAAAATTAGACGATAGTTATATTTCTTCAGCTTCAATTTTAAAGGGCGTGCCAACGTATCTTGATCCATATTGTCACTGCCATCCTGGGAAAAAACCAGATGAAAAATCTGACATCTATAGTTTGGGAGTAATATTTTGGGAACTTACTAGTGGAGTTCGTCCATTCGCGAATGCTGAATATGGACTTATAACAATAGTTCAAATATTGACAGGTTATCGAGAGCAAACAATTCCTGGAACGCCACCTGAGTATGCTAAACTTTATCAAAAATGCTGGAACTTAAAGCCAACAGAACGTCCAGAAATATGTAAAATTCTCGAAAATCTTGATTTAATAGCAGAAGGAATATTAGAAGGAAAAGTAGATCAATTTATAATGAATAAAGATAAGAACCTTATACCTAAAAAAGATGAACAGTCTCAATTTGACGAACATATGCATATCGATGATTATATTAAGATATTATTAAATGTGGCATATACACATAGTTCTAGTAAATCGAGTTATTCTAGTCCGGAAACTTCGGTAGAATCTTTAGATAAAATGTCAGGTGTTATTACTGTTCAAAAATCTAAAGAATCCCTTCATTCTAATCCGAAAAATTCTAAAGATTCTTCAACTAAGTCATTTAAAATGTATTTCTTAAGGCATAAGTTAGAAAATGCGGACGAATTGAAATCACAAGGAAAAATTTATTATATGTCAGGAAATTATAAAGAGTCTCTTGAATATCTAAGTAAAGCATTGAATATTAGCCCAGATGATGTTGATGCACTGAGATTTCGAGGAGAGACTTATTTCAAATTAAAAAAATACCATGAATCGCTTATGGATTTAAATAAATCGTTAGAACTTGAACCGGGCAATGCAGTTGCACTAAGATCTCGAGGGAAAACATTTTATATGTTAAAGAAATTTCAAAAGTCTCTTACGGACTTAAATAGTTCTTTAGAAATTGATCCACATAATGCAATTGCATTAATGTCTCGAGGACAAACTTATCACATGCTAAGTCAACCCGATAAATCTCTTGAAGATCTAACTAAATCTTTAGAAATTGATCCGAACAATTCAGTCGCATTAGGATATCGAGGACAAATATATTTCATGCTAAATCGTCAAGATGATTCCCATGCAGATTTGGAAAGATTTTTAGAAGTCGATTCAGATAATTCAATTGTACTAAATTCTCGAGGACAATTGTGCTATATGCTAAAACGCTATGAAGAATCTCTTACAGATTTAACTAAATCACTAAAAATTGATTCCCAAAACACAGACACATTGAAACTTCTGGCTAAATCTTATTTTAAGCAGAAAAAATATCAAGAGTCTCTTGAACATTTAACAAAGTCGTTAAATATTGAACCAAAAGATATTGAAGCATTAATAAGCCGAGGACAGACATATTGCATGCTTGAAAAATATGATAGTTCCCTCAAAGACTTAAACTCGGCATTAGAAATTGACACAAACAATGCAGAATCCCTAAGATCCCGAGGACAAACTTATTATAATTTAAGAAAATACAATAAATCTCTTGACGATTTAACTAATTCATTAGAAATAGAACCAGATAATGCATTTACACTAAGATCTCGGGGACAAACATATTATAAGTTAAATAATTACAAAATGTCTCTTAAAGATCTAACTAGATCATTAAAAATCGATCCAGATAATGCAATTGCACTAAAACTTCGAGGTAAAATATATTACAAACTAAATAATTATGAGAAATCTCTCGTGGATTTAAATAAATTAATTAAAATCGGTTCAGTTAATGCAATTTCGTTAAGACTCCGAGGGCAAGTACATTACATGTTAAAGCACTACAAGGAATCTCTTGAAGATTTGACTAAATCATTAGAGAATGATTCCGATAATTCGGGTGCATTAAAATTTACTGGAAAACCCTATATTAAAAAAGAAAATTATAAGGATTCCTTTGAAACTTTGACTAAATCATTAAGAATTGATCCTAATAATGTGGATGCATTAGAATTTCGTGCGCAAACTTATTACATGTCAAAAAATTATCAAGAATCTTTCGAAGATTCGAGAAAATTATTGAATATTAATCCTAAGAATGTAGTTGCACTAAGAATTCTGGGAAAATCTTGCTGTAAATTAAAAAAATACAAGGAGGCTGTGGAAAATTTAACAAAATCGTTAGAAATAGACTCAGAAAATATTGATGCTTTGATATACCGAGGACTAGCATATTGCACACTTGAAAAATATAAAAATTCTCTTGAAGATTTAGATAAAGCATTAATTTTAGAAAACAATAATGCAGTTGCATTGAGATGCCGTGGACAAACCCATTACAATTCAGGAGAATACGAAGCCGCGCTTAAAGATTTAACAAATTCGATCAACATAGAATCAGATAATGCGTTTGCATTAAGATGTCGAGGACAAACATATTATATGTTAAATAACTATGAGGACTCACTGGTAGATCTAACTAAATCTTTGGAAATTGAACCAGATAATCCAGTTGCACTGAAACTTCGAGGACAAGTACATCATAAATTAGGACATTATGATGCATCTATTGAATATTTAACTAAATCACTTAAGTTTGATTCTAAAAATGTAGTTATGTTGCGACTTCTAGGTGAATCCTATTTTAAGTTGAAAAAATATAAAGAATCTTCTGAAATATTAATAAAATCATTAAATGTTGATTCTCAAAATGCAGATGCATTAAAACTTTTAGGAAAATCTTATTTTAAGCAGAAAAAATATCGAGAGTCTCTTGAATATTTAAAAAAGTCATTGCGTATAAAACCAGAAGATCTTGATGCATTAAGAAGCCGAGGACAGACATATTGCATGCTTGGAAAATATGAAAATTCTCTTAAAGATTTAAACAGAGCGCTGGAAATTGACCCGAAAGATGCGGAATCCCTAAGATCTCGAGGGCAGACCTATCATAATTTAAAAAATTATAATAAATCTCTTAAAGATTTAGCAAATTCATTAGAAATAGAACCAGATAATACATTTACACTAAGATCTCGAGGGCAAACATATTACATGCTAAATCAATACGAAAAATCTCTTGCTGATATAACTAAATCATTAGAAAGTGATCCAGATAATGAAATCGCGCTAAGATTACGAGCGAAAGCATATTCCAAACTAGGTCACGACGAGGAGCTACAAGCTGATATAGATAAATTGTTGCAACTAGAACATAAAAAAAAGTATGAAGATTCTCTCAAAAACATGAAAAGTTCATTGGGCATTGATAATGTGACAAAATTTGAAAATTCTACTTGATAAAAATATTGATTATTTTACACATGTAATATAAATTTCATTTTACTTTGATTGCACAACATGAGAAATATTGCATAATCATTAAAACACAATACAAAAATGAAGATCAAAAATTTTGCTGAGGCAATTAAGTGAGGACTGTTAATAAGGTTCTGCAAATTCCGGCACGTGAATTATTCAAACTGATTAAACACACCTGTGCTTGGAACAATGTTTAATAGTATGCATTCTTGCATTTGTAGAACCTTATTCAATACAAGTTATAGGATAATGTCTAGCTCCAATAAAGCTAGAGATCTTCCAATGAGAATGAGAAATCACTTTAATCGAAAAAGGCACTTGTGATGGGAAATAAGAGAAAAAGTTTCGTTTTCACATCAAAATTAGTTTCATGTATTAAAGTATACCAACGAAGGAAAAATAATCTGGCTTGAAAGGTTAAATAATACACAAGGTTGTAATATGTTTTAAGCAAATACCTTTGCAAATTTTGCTGTAAAAAGCAATTATAGTGCAATTTATTGAATTTAATTTTATTTTTATACTTGTATTAGTCATATGTCCGTTTTTCATCCTGGGATAGTTGTAATGGATCCACTTAAACGAAGAATTTTTTTAGAGAAATGTCAATTTTCTACTTGTGATATAACGTGTTTGGTCAATAAAAATATTTGAAATTGTGCTAATTAAACATTTATATAAATGTCTAAATTCTAAGTTATTTATGTAATTTAAAGTTATCAAAATTATGTTAAAAAGATATTTTATACAAAGTTTTACAATTAAGTATTATTGTTTACATCAGCCAATCAAACGAATTTCGTCCTATAAGACTAGATAAATTCATAGCAATAGCAAAAATATTTTACAAATTCAATAAATATCAAATAGAATTAAATAAAAAGTGCAGGGGCATGGTGACATATTGAAGTAGTCATGTTATTACTTCCAAGTGGCAGATCTAGAGGTCAAATCCCAGTGTTGATGAATATTTGAAAAATTTTTATGTTACAGTTAACTGTCTTCTGTGTTTAGAGATGCGAAATGGCTAAACAGCTCAGTTAATAGTTCTTACGTTACATGAGCTGAACCATTTGTAGCCAAGCTATTTTTTTAGCTGATCTGATTTGGAGCTATTTGAATAAACTACGACTAAGTTGTGGTTAACTATTAATTTTTTTAATTAAAAAAGTTATATATGCAAAGGTTTATTTATTACATAACTATAGAGCTAATATTTATTTATACAGGTGTTAAATATCAAATATGTAACAAATTTTAATGCCTAATAAATTTTGTAACATAAAGCATTTCTATATTGTATAATGTAGTTTTAAAATCATCTATGAAATGTAATACTGTGTTCCAACCCAAACCAGTACACACAAGTGCTTGTATACTCTTTTTAGAGAGATATGCACATCTTGTTCAAACAAAATCACCTGTTTTTGAAAATATCTGTTCAGAAGGCACTAAAGTTGCCTGAATAATAAGAAAATCTTTAACCATTTATGATATACCAGGAAAACAATAACTGTTAAGTTTTCACCATTCTAAAGAATTAGCATTTATAGATAATATAGTTTCACTTAGATATTGTGTAAACTTATCTGTTGTAGTTGTTAAACAATTAAATCATTATTTTTGAGCAACTTGTTTCATATATATAGTAAGACATGATATAATTTCAACAGTAAATAGATTATCTAATATAGGATATTTAGTTTGAAGAATGTAATTAAAAAACTTCTGGTTTTCTTGAGTATTCAAGTCAACTGGTATTAATTCCAGTTTAATTCAAGGATCAAGAACAGAAGCAATAAAGGCAGCCTTATTAATAATATGATCTAAATATTTTTTAATTTTTCTAACATCTGAGTTGCTGCAACTT